GGTGGCAACGACTGCTATATAAGCAACACTCTTTTTTTTTTTGCAGGAGGGGTTGTGGGTGGCAGTTGCCATCTGCATGTGCCTCTGTGCTCTTGCTCCCACGGTTTACACGTAGAAGTTAGCGGCAATGAGCTTCGCCACGGACAATGCCTTTTTGGTGGACGATGATGAAGAAGTAGAAATTGGGTCTTCATCCCGCAGCCCCCACTCCCAGGAGGAGAAGGAACAATCGACTGAAAAGTTGGAGACTGAGGAGGCAGAGGAGGAGGGAGAGGCAGAGGAGGCGGAAGAGGAGGCAGAAGAGGAGGCAGAAGAGGAGGCGGAAGAGGAGGCAGAAGAGGAGGCAGAAGAGGAGGCAGAAGAGGAGGCAGAAGAGGAGGCGGAGGAGGCCACGCGCAACGCCGACAATGCTGTAAACACACCTGCGCCAGGTGCGAGGCCGGAGACTCAACCACGGCCAAGCGCTGCAAACCCTTTCACCTCGGTGTTTGGCGGCCCGCAGACTAACAATGTTGCGGGAGCTCCTGCTCAGAGCCTTCACGTATTGGTTTCATCGCCACCCGCAGTATTGTCGCCGGCGGAGGGCACAGCAGGCGACGGGAGGCCGGAGCTGGTTGTTCCACCTACGGGGCATGCGCGGGCAAGGCAGGTGCGGATGTCTCCCCGGTTTCTTGATTTTCCAGCAAGAACGGCGGCTGGGCACGAGAAGCGTCAGCGATGCCTTTCGGCCAGTGAGGAAACGGCGGCGGCGAGGGCGGTCCTGGCGAAGTTTGAGCTCTCCCTGCCAACAACTCGCTTTGATGAGCAGTTGGAAATCATCTTGTCCAAGTTGCGTTGACGCCGCATGGGGCGCCGAATGTGGAAATTCCCACGAAAGAGGGGGACACAAAAAAGGGACGAAAAGAAAAAAAAGAGGGAAGGGTACATAAAATAAAACTGGATATCTCATCTTGAGATAGTGCGAATTTGCCATCAAGGCGCCCCACCCTTTTTCTTCGTTGCCGTCTACTCCCCATGACCCTTCTGTGCTCTTTCTTTTTTTTCCCCTCGTCTTTGTTTTGTTTTTATTTTGTTCCATTCGTCTTCCATCAGCAGCGGGATTGCGTGTGTGTGAGTGTGTCTGTGTGTATGCGAAATGTTGGGCCGAGGGTTCTTGTGTGAAATTCGTTCTATGGACACCACAGACGCCGTGGAGGACGTACACAAACGGCTTCTAAAAGTTCTCAAGGATGAGTTTGAGCGTCAAACCCCCTCGACACACAGTTTGTGTCAGTGCTCCGTGTTGTGTGGCGCGTTCTGTCGTAGATTGGCGACTTTAGACGCCTCTGGCGTGAAGGATGCTGTTAAATACGTGGAGCTGCTTCGCTTAGAGCTGAGCAGTCGGCTTTCGCCTGTTCAGGAGGCGTCATTTTTCGCCTACGCGCTGGGTGAGATAGAGGCCTTTTCCACGATGCGACGCGTGAGATACCGCCAGCGTCTCGATGCGCTAACAAAGTCCGTCCCCGCATCTCGGTGGGACGTGGAAAAGATTACAGACGTAATGCAGGAATTATCGGCCTCCGACTGGCGTCCGGAGGCTGTGCGCGGTTACCACGAAGTAGTTAAGCGACCCCGAGAGGTCGGTGAGGGCGGCAGTGACGGTGTGCCAATGCCGGTGCGCTGGCGACTTCCCTTGCGCGATCCGATTTCGTTGCTGGTCATAGCGGTTCCTGCCAGGGGTTCGTTGTGTCGGCACAAGGAGGTCTTTGACATGGTGGCGTTCGTGCGCGCCACTCAGCAGGCAGTGCTGCGTCGGAGGGAGTGCGTGGAGGAAACGGCAAACCCGAGGTGGGGTTCTGGTGGCGACGAGGACTTGCCGGCGCTGGCGTGCCCAGTTTGCGGCAGGGCCGCTCCGTTGCACAGCGTGCGTGTTGACGAACCTATCCTAGAGGCCATGCGCCAGCATGCTGCGCGGGGAGGCACTCTTTCGTCGGACGACTGCGTCGTCTGGGACGACTCAAGGTCCGCCTACGACGTTGTGGAGGCTCCTGCTGCCGCACGCGTGGCGGGCGAGAGGTTGGAGGAGGCGCCGGAGAGAGAGCCGAACCGTCCGCTGCGGGTGGTGCAGATTGAAGGCCACGTGCTTTACGCAGAAGAATGAGGGAGTAGTGAATTTTTTTTGTTTTCTTTTTCCCCTTCTGGCTGAGCCTCGCTTCCCCGCTGTTTCTCTTTTCGTTGCGAGCAAGCCCAGCACGTGTCTCTCTCTTTCTGTGTGCGTGTGTGTGCCGCGTGCCTGCTGAGCTGCATTTTCTTCTTTGCATTTCCCTTGCCGCCTTCCTTGACCCTTTCTACTGGATTAAAAAAAAAAGTATTTTGTTTCCCTTTTTTTTGTTGCAGCTAGAAACCCCGTACGGAGACATGAAGAAGAGCGTTTCCCTCAAGGAGTTTTCCACGACGCCGACCGTGTCTTACATGTTGAGCAAAGACGGCCACAATATTGCGAGCGCCATTGGCAGTGGGAACTCCAACGGCCACAGCAACGCCCTGCGGCACCCTGCCCCCCAGTCGGTGAAGGAGGAGAAGACGAGGCCCGCGTCCAATGACGGCACGTCCGACACGATGTTCGACATGGAGTAGGGGGCGTCCGAACTCACTCACTCACTGCAGAACGTTAAACCACACACACAACAAAAAAAAGGAAAAAGAAAAAAAAGACGGACGGAAACGGAGGGGAAAAAAAAACAGACGGAAACGGAGAAAAAAAAGAGACGAGAGGGAGAAATTACAAGCCAAAAGTCAGTAAAATGAAACCCAACGAATACGAGCTTTTAGCAAACGGGGGAGAAGAAGCAAATTTCTAGATGGATGATGAAATTAAGTGAGGATGTCTCTTCTGCTGGGGCGTTGTTACCCGCCGTATTTGGCGAGGTGAAGGATATAATAAAGCACATGTGTGTGGTATGCACAATTAAATGTATATTAGGGTCCTAAGGCGGGCTCACTGCGTATAAAACACCTCGGGTGCTTTTTTTTCTTATCTATCCCTTTCCTCTCGTTTTCTTCTGTCCCTTCTTGACATTATTTTTCTTACTTATTGTAACGGAGGCCGCGAGTACCATGTTATTTCTATTATATATATATATATATATATTCCTTTCCTGAGGTTCTCTTGTTTTATTCTGCATGTCCTGATGCTTCGTCTTTATTCCTTTTGATGTCGTGTTTTTTCCCCATGCTTTCGGTTGCTGCCGCGGCGGTGCGGAGGTTGGGGAGGAGATACCGCAAGGGAGGGGGGAAGAGGTGCCGCAGGTGTGAGAGTCCAATGAGTCGCAATCAATTCCGGAAGGGTGGTGGCCGTAAGCGAGGACGGCAGGAGGACACCTGGGCGGCCGACGCGCGTGACGTATCGACATTGACAAACGACGCGTTTAACCGCTTTTACAAGGCGAATGTCGTGGAGGAGGCGGAGTGGGATGCGTTTGTGGAGGCGCTGCGTCGTGCGCTACCCATGGCACTTCGCGTGCATCCGTCCGTGCCGTCCGCTGACGCCGTTCTTGAGTACCTGAGATCCCGCCTGGCGAATGTGCTGCCGGCGACGCAGCTCCCCTTCATTACTGAGGGCGCCGCACTGCAGTGTGCCATCTCTCGTGGGGAACTTAAACGCAGTGGAGAACTGAAGGAATTAAAAAAGATTATTGCCGCAATGAATGAGGGCGGCTACCTGACGCGTCAAGAGGCTGTAAGTATGCTGCCTCCCGTGCTACTGCAAGTGCGTCCGGGCCATCGTGTTCTGGACATGTGCGCGGCGCCTGGGAGTAAGACCTCACAAATGCTAGAAGCTCTTATTTCTTCCGCGGAGGATGGTGTCGTGGTGGCAAATGATATTAATATCTCACGACTTGATGTCCTGTTACATCAGACGAACCGCTCAGCCGGCGCCCACGCACATTTGATCGTGACAAACCACGATGCAACACAATTTCCCCTGTTACCTTCGGAGGACAAGTTTGATCGCGTGCTGTGCGATGTGATGTGCTCTGGCGATGGCACGCTGAGGAAGTCCATGGACATGTGGCCCCGTTGGAATACGCTTCAGGGCGCCAACCTCCACGGCACCCAAATTCGCGTCCTGCTACGTGGAATGATGCTGTGCAAGAAGGGAGGCATTGTTGTCTACTCCACCTGTAGTCTGAACCCTGTGGAGGATGAGGCTGTTGTGTCGGAGTGCCTTGCCCAGTCAAAGGGCGCGTTCCGATTGCTTGATCCCGCGCCGCTCGCGCCTGGCCTCGTGGCAGCGCCAGGGTTGACGACTTGGTCGCTGCTCACGAAGGACCTCACGACGAGGCTGCACACGATGGAGGAGGCTCAGGCGTTTACTTCAACAGATGCACGGAACAGATATTCTTATCTTGCCTCCATGTTCCCCAATAGTGCGCGGTTGGAGGAGCAAAATATACAATACACTCGGCGAGTGCTGCCGCACCTTCAGGATACAGGTGGTTTCTTCGTTGCGGTAATGGAGTGCCTTGAGGAGTATTCAGCGCCTACTGCCGCCGCAGCTTCTCTTTCTGGGAAGAGCGAGACATTTAAGCCTCTTTCACATCTGCTACAGAAGGAGGTGCGAGGTGCCTTGGGGCTTCCCGATTCATTTCCTGCAGACCAGCTATTTGTCCGAAACGAAACCGCGCGTGAGCAGAAAATTTATTTTGCGAATAGGGCCGTGTGTGCCATCCTCCCCAAACTGGGCCCTCGTGTTGTGCATGTGGGAGCCAAGGTGTTTGAGTCCTACGTGAAGTACAGCAACGATAAGCTTCGTTTTTGCGCGGAAGGTGTTGGGGTGCTAGTCCCCTTACTGCCTCCGTCGTTTCTGGTGGAGATCGGCCCAGAGACGGTGCTGCAACTCAGCCGGAGCAGGGTGGATGAGGCGTCACTCCCGCCGCTTCCGCCGACGCACAGTTTTATATTTAAATCCAACATGACTGTTGTGGGCGCGGTTTACATCGCGGCGGAGAGGGCGCGGTTGGGTCAAATCGCGGCAAAGGTTGCTGACTGGCAAGTCGCACTTGCGAAGCTAACACTTGGGCAGCCGCTGCTGGAGGGCAACGGAGAAGCCGCCGTGGACGCGGATCGCGTGGAAGGCGATGCCGAGCCCTGAATAGTGGGGAGCGGAGGAGAGTGGACACTGAGGAAAGACGGCTCTTGGTGATGTGTGTGTGTGTGTGTAACTTGTAATGCCTCCACTGCTGCTGCGGTGCTGAGTCACGCAGCAGTAC